GACCTACTAGAGCTTACGATCCTTGACGGAGCTTTCTTGGTGAGTTACTTTTTCTCCGTCAAGTGTTTATGGGTTTATCCCTTTTACTCTTTATAGAAGTATTGTGGGTTATTCAGATTGACTAAAGGTATTATTTACTATACATTGATATAGATCGTTTCAGCTTGGTTATACGATTACTGGGTTTCATTGCTTATTACCTACAAACAAAAGACCACATGGGCTATCATGTAAATGTCATCAACATTTATGTACGTGGCATCCTTGATTCACGATGTCAATCCTTCGCATCTCGCCGATCTGCATACGTGGTTGCGAGAAGCATTATTGGATGCGCGCGCGCGACCCAGTAGTGCATCGCGCTACAAGTGGCATCCTTTCAGTTTCCCCGAAAATGTTAGGGAGTAGGAAGCTATTTTTGTTGCTGGTTTGTGTACGTTGGTCTAGCTCTCAAATATTGGACAGTTCTAGATTCTTTGGCCTAACATCTATCTTTTGCTTTGTAATTTTCTACCGCTTAGAATCTTCCCATTTTATTTTTAATGTTTCTCATAGGGGGTGCACGATAGAAATAAACTTACTCGGATTTTTAAAATTTTTGTACCATTGTTTTCTAGAGACTGTGAGAATTTTCACCGTACCAAATTTGTTATACCTTTTTGGAATGATCAGCGAGTTTCGCCTAGGTGCCATATTTGATGGTGCGCGGCTTTTGGAGCAAAATTAGGTGTAAAAGTCGCGTAATTTGACGAAATTCGTTGATTTTTGTCGTATTATTCTATAATATCTTCGGTTCCTGAAAATGAATCATGCTGAAAATTTGTCAGAACCTTCCAATCATACTTAACTACCGAACCTAATTTAGTTGGGAGATATTGGCCTTGATTAAGAGGTCTAAAAATGACAAAATAGGTATAAATTCGTTGATAACTCAAATTCTGACCATCGAAATTGCTCAAACTAATATAGATTCAGTAAAACATAAGTGTTTACGTACGCTGACCAAATTTCAAAAATATTGTTATATGGGAAGTATTATAACTTTTTGATTGTTTCCGAAATAATGTGCTGGCCGAAATACGAGCTAAAAAACCATTCAATGGTCAGCGCGCGCGTCTTACGGTCGATTGGCGCACTGCCTATTTCTCAGAGTTTTATGTATTAATTTGGATATTTACCAGGTCACTATGTAACAAAGTTTTTGTTCCGCCTTGAAGAAGCCATGGAGGCGAAACGTCGGCACTAACGTGTGTTATTTGTATTCAATTCAGAGGAGATTAGCCAATTTCAATCTAAACTCATAATGATAGACCCTCTGACAAGGGCAAAGCGTCATATATACGCTACAAACTCAAACTAATTCTATATAGACAGGCTGAGCGCGGCCCAGTAACCTTTATAGCTCAGTCAATGAGTGCCCAATTAAATTGAAATAATTCTTTCTGGTACGACTTAGTACCACAACTGGTTCGAGGAATTTGTCAAATTGAATAATATTCGTGTTCATTTTTTTCAAATGAAGGTTCATTCTTTCATTTATTTGATAGTCGGATCGAGCCAAATTTTGATAGTAGTTGGATCGAGCCAAATTTTATTGAATGGTGTTTGGCTATTTAAATTACATTTGTCCTGAATAAATGAGAGTTCTAGCTTCTCAGATGACCGAGATATGAAGCATTTGTTTGTTCATTACGTGTGATCAGGTGATTGGATTGAGGACGGATCCGCATTGTGTAATCGCGCAGAGAGCCCAATGACGGTGTTGTAATTGGGTTATCATAACATAACATTATGTTGGATCATGAATGTGCTTTCGCGGAAGATGTACCGCCTAATTATATAATTTTTTAATAAAATTATTCAAACAATATACACATTATATAGCAATGACCCTATATAAAATCAACTTGTATCACGTGGTGACCCCCACTTCGACGATACAGGGGGAGCCGCGCACTTCGTGCGCGGCGGGTCATACAACGTATGACAAAAATCAACCCTTTAAGAATTCAAAAAATTCCCTTAATAATCAAAAATTACCCTTGGCCTTGTGATTGGCTTTGTAATTACCGCCTAATTATATCAAATACATTTAGAATAGCCATTTTTATAACATTTATGGAAAAGTTTGTTTATGAAAAAGCAACAAAAACAAAATACTAAAATTCATTGAGTGGGCGCGAAATTTAAAAAAAGGCAAATGATATTGGCAAATATTTTGAATTTCGACCAGCAAAATCTTATGCTCAATTTAATTTAATATTACTAGCGGGAACCCGTCTAACCCTAAAGTGGTGTCAAGACTCGAGAGACTAAAATAATTATTACCTATTTAATTCGCGTTTTTGACACCACTTGAGAGTCCAAATTTTGGGCACTAAAATTATTATTCCTTGGTCAATTTTTTATTTTTTCATGCTGATTTGAAGGCCATTAAAGCATTTGACCCAGTCAAAAAAGTTTCAGTTGTATATGTTTTACGGTTTTTGCGGAAAGTCGCGTTAAAGTTGATGCCGTGGTGTCAGTAAAATAGCACGGATATATACACATATATATATATCGTCTCGCTTTATATATAGTAAGATTTTGGGCAAGTTTTGAGCAAATTTGTTAATAAAATGTCTGCATTAAAACTTATCTAAATAAACATTCTATAAACGTGATTTGGCCTATTTAAAGCAAAATATTGTTAATTGACGATGTCAACCCAAGAATGCTAGTTTGCGCGGCGCGTCGACGCAGCGAAGTCCTCCAAAAATCTTAATGCGTTGAGTGCTGCCAAAAGCCGGGGACCTAAACCTTTGTAGTATATTTATATTTTAATTAAATATAAATATACAACGTGTAGCAAGCACCTGTATAAACCTTTGTAGTATATTTATATTTTAATTAAATATAAATATACAACGTGTAGCAAGCATGCAAAATCAGGGGTTTTCTTCAATTTTACCAAATTTATTTATTTTGTGATTACTGGTATGCCAATTTTTTAGCATGAGGTGCGCTATTGGATCGCGCTGCGCACTCAAATATACTTTTTGCAACAACTTCGTTAAATTAGATCGCGCGATCGGCAAAATGCGCTACTGGGCCTCGCCTTGTCATACGTTGTATGACCCGCCGCGCACGAAGTGCGCGGCTCCACCTGTATCGTCGAAGACGCTACTATAGTGAAGCGACAGTGGGGGTCACCACGTGATACAAGCCTCGCCGAGCTGCAAAATTGACACCTTCAATTAACGCCATTTCTTTTGTCAAAAAATAGAGTAGCAAGCTAGGCTAATTAATCACCACGAAAATTTTCTCATTTATAAGTTTATAACAGCACCATGAGCTGGCACAAAGCTTTTGTTTCTGATTAAATGATAAATTTGATACCAAAAGTTGCCATTGTTGCCTTATACTGCCGTTCCCTGAGAAAAGGCAGTAAGTCACATCTATGTCATTTTGAGAAAATGGGACAAACGTGTTTGTCGTTTTTTAGGTAATTTTATTCGTATAAACGGGGTTAATTTTGACATCTATGTGTAAATAAATTATTGTCATATGTCCTAAACATGCTTAAAAGCATAAATTCGCCAACACTGATCTATAAAAACCATTTTTCATCAGAATAACTGAACTATTTTCCCATCCGCATTGGACTTACTGCCTTTTCTGAGGGAATTGCGGACTTACTGCCTTTTATCAGGATCGATTTCAACCGATTCCTCTCTAGAAAGGCAGTAAGTCCATTTTTCCTCAGATAAAGTCAACTCAAAAAACACAACATTTCTATATTTTTGATCATATCCTTGCAATATAATTATGTGGGCCTCCTGTGCATTGCAAGTGTGTAATATTGACGAAAAATGGATAATTTCTCGCTCAAAATGCCTATAAATCCTTAAATATCGAATATTTTGGAATAATTTTTACAGCATCGTATTCAGCTTGGTCAGACGAATTAATTTGGAAAAAAATATTTGAACATACAATATTTAAAGCACCAAATTTTTCAAAAAATGTTTCAATAATTCACACAAGGGGGGACCCTTGTGTTCAGGTTCAAAAATTTTGAAAATAATATTTTTTTAAATTTTGAATTATTAGTACCAAAATTTTTTGCTTGTTGAGCTGATTACGACCACATAAAAATTATTTCGATATAACTAAAACTGTGGAAGTTATAGGCCAAAAACTATAAAAACTGCAAATAAATCTGGACTTACTGCCTTTTCTCAGGGAAAAAGTTCCCTCACGGAAAAAGTTCCCTCAGAGAAGGCTGTACAAATGGACTTACTGCCTTTTCTCAGGGAAGGTTTTGGGATTACGTGCTAAATTGTCTAGTTTTGTGTGACTTACTGCCTTTCGTGACAGCTAAAACAGTATTTTTATAAGGTGATTCATAGCTTAAGTTGTAGAGAATCTTTTCCTGAAAATTTTGGTACCAATATCTCAAAATTTCGAAAAATGGACTTACTGCCTTCTCTCAGGGAACGGCAGTATAGCCTTAAACATTAAAATAATTTGTATATGATCGTAATATAAGCTTAGTCAAAATTTGACACAAGGGAGGACCTTTGTGTTTAGGTTTAAAAATTTGAAAATAATGTTCCTTTAAATCTTAAATATCAGTACTGAGTACTATAAGCTTCGTCTCGATGAGCTAGTTACGATGCATAATGACTGAAAGTGTGAAAGTGATATGATATAATAGACCAAGACTAAAAATTTGCGTGGAAAAAGCATTCGCCGCGAACAAGCGAGGTGCAGCATTTTTAGCAAAAATTGCTACACGGTGAAATTATTTTATTCACATTTTTAGACAACTTTGGTACCAAATTTATCGAAATCGGAGGAAAAAAAATACTCTGCCAACTCATGTTGCTTATTACATAAAGAACTAGTCTGGAATCATCGCATCAACTAATGATTGATGATTAAAATCAAAAATGATACTCATATATTATGTTTTCTAGAAAGTTAATGTATACAATTAAAAACAGAGAGAATTGATGAAAACATGACTACCTGTTAATTCACAATTTACTGCTAGAGAAGTTGGACTGGCTAGCTTTGGTAAGTTTTATAATTGATGTTATCAGTTTTACTGCCTAGTTTGATACACTCCTTACTTATTTTGCCTGGTTATACAGGGGGGGGGGGGGGCAAAACCAGTAGTAGTAGTAAGTCATATTTCGATTGGGCACTCAGTGACTGAGCTATTAAGGCCAACGTTTGCACACTGACTTTTGCCTCCCCCTGTATGTTACTCGATTTCTTTCAAAAACCCTTGTTGGAATATCTAAACAAAAGGTGAATGAAAAAGTGTATTTCAACTAATATAATCAAATTAGAAAGCACACCCACACTAACAGATTATTTCACCATTTATCTTCTCAGCGAATGTTTATAAGGATGTGAATGCCCTGGTCATGAAAATCGTGAAAATGTGAGTTGCGTGAATGTGAGTGTGTGTGATTAGAATTAAGCGCTCTATTAGAAATTCACTGCTTGTTTAACACTCCACAGATCTTTCAACAAATGAACCAGTCTGCTTTATCACGGGAAACTTTTATTTAATGTCTGCTGCTGTTGACTATTCAAATTTATTATTTTTCCTCTAACATGAGCATGTTTTCCTCACTTGACAGTCTATAACTGTAATGTTCTCTACCTTTTCAGTTGTAATCGTGCATTTCCGCTTCAGATTAAAGACTCGTATAAAAAGAAGGGAGCAGGATGCATCACTTGATGCGACTCAGTCCAACACGGATACGATCAAACACACCCCCTCCCCCTCCACCAGTAGAGCTGTCTCTCCTGCTCCTGCTAGGTAAATAGATACACTATTAATATCCTGGAAATTTGAGGCGTTGATTGCTATTGTACAATGCACAGTTATCAATATACTGATACGTTTCCAAATATACCTAGGTTAAAACTGTTATTATACAATATACATATTACAATATCTTCCCAGGACGAGCCCAAGTAAAAACAGGTACACTAAGAAAAATAAAGCAGGACATCTGAAACAGAGTAAAAGTTTTCATGTGAGCTTTCTTGATATCCATTTCTTTTTGTTAGTTTTATATCATTATGATTTACATTTGCCACTAGATTTTAGAATGAATATTATTGGATTTGATTCAACAACAATCTAAAGCAGAAGTGTGTCAGAAGTGTCTCAACATGTCTGCTTTTGAAGTTCTCCATATTTTATGTTCACGCTGAACCAGTGTTGCAAAGTAAAAATTGTGTATTTTTTGTACATTTTTAGTGTAAATTGATTTATTAATTTATCACTTACAACAACAACAACAACAACAACAACAACATATCACAAATTATATTATTATAATAAAACCACTTCTGTGAAATGGTTATTTTGACTTTAAATATTTGAACTAAACATGAATTGATTGTGGGTATAAAATAAAATGTTGTTTTATTTATAGCTGGTAATATTACAGGTGGCACCTGGCCCGAGTCCAAGTATATCGTTTACTGCCTCGTTTGATGACTCAGATGGAACGAGCATCAAAACCAGCAACATCAGAAGAGGTGTGATTTTATACTTAACTTCAATACTGTCAGATATTCCTGAAGGGGAATTATTTAAACCACTTTGGGGCCCAAACAACAATTTAGTTGAGTGGGCGGTGTGCTTTTCGTTTTGGTGGGGAGGTTGCGGAGAGTGGTGGCTGAGGAGTGGGTGACTTTGATGTCGTGTTGTCGAAGTATCTTGGATATGGGTTTGGAGAGGGAGGGATGGATATGTCAGATATCATTTTATTTTGTGATCGATTATCCAGCCCGAAATTGTTTACTTTTCCTCTACCCGAGTTGCTAAAAAGTAGATTATTGGCTTTTTGAGTAAACCATATTATATTTCCAGCCCAGTCGTTTCACGACAAGAAGAGATTGGAAAGAGGGTTCCTGGGGCAGTCCTTTGGTTCGGAGAGTGACACTGAGTCTGTTAAAACCAACAAATCAGACCTTTCTGACCTCAACAGATTTGTAAGTAGGATACATCTTATATTATCAATATCATTACACTATGTTGACAATATCTATATCTCCAATGGACCTTGCTCTAGATGAACCTGGAATCTGGGTGAAAACTGTTGTACTAAGAAACACGTGGTGCTTCTTACTCCCAGATAACCTATCATCATAGATAATAGATTACAGACGGGATTCCTTTTCATATAAGTACCACGATTAGGAGTTAAGGAATTGTATAATTGTCTTAAGAATTTACCATAGAAGTTACTGAAGAACTTACTGTACGACTACTGACCCGATTGCCGTGAACTCGAAATCCCACTTCTGGAACCCCTTTTAGTAATAGTATCCCTTAGGGGGTGTTACTAAAACCTGAACTTCAAATCCCATCTCTGGAAACCCTTTTAGTAATAGTATCCCTTAGGGGGTGTTACTAAATCACAGGACGATAGAGCGTTGAAGGTTCATTTTATTAAACCCAGATGTTTGCGTTGATATTCAGTACACACACATTACGTAAGTTACTTGACTGACAACTAACAAGCTAAATGATACCACAAGTGATGAAGGGTATCCTGGAATAATGACTATTGTACTCTAACTCTATCTCGCATAATATCTGGTACCTGACAGGTACCACATACTTGTACCTGATATTTTGCAATTTCCCACTTCTCTCCCACATGTGTTGCAGGATTGAATCACACGTGTTTCAGTAGCACTAACATTCTACACTTCTTTCTGAACTGTTAAGTATTAAGGGCGTGGAAATTAACGTGACATAGTGCAGATAGACACACTTCCAAGTACATATTATTACGTACTGTTTCTTGTAGTATTCGTCAACTAATTACAACAATTACTGGCTCATTAACCACATATGCGCGTCTCCTTTTTAAAAGCCTGCTCCAGTCCACCAATGGAGAAGAGTTAACATGTTGTTTGTGAAGTAAGTGCTGGAGAAGGGAGCGTATGTAATTGAATTACACCTCACAGTGATCTAACCTGTTTCTTTAACGCTACATCTCGCTGTTTTACCTCACAGCTTTCCCGCCTTTATTACTGTGTTGTTGCACTCGTTTTATCTGTTTATTTCATTTTGAATTGATCAGTTGGTTTTCGATGAAATTTGATCGCTCAAAATTTGTTTAATGATTAAGTTTCTATACTTTGTGACGTTTTTGGAGTGCTGCCTTTATTTTG